GTGGCCCCGCCACCGCCACTGCCACTGCTGCTCCTGCGAAACAGGCTGGTCATCTTGCTGAGCTGCTGAGGGAGAATGTTTCTGACAAACCAAGGAGCCGCTGGCCCGGGGTCCCTCCGTCAGCCACTGGCTTGCTCTGCAGGGTCAGAAGACTCACTCCTGTGCTTCCTCTGTCCACAGGGATGCCTGGTGCACGGCCCGGGCTAGGGGACAGGGGCCGGGGTGGTGGCGGCATGCGGACCTTGGCCAGGCTGTGGCTGTACTGCAGATCATCCACATCCTTGAGTCATCCTGCCACAGGGGGCTGCAAGGAACTGATGGTGTCACCTGAAAGGAGGGGACAGAGTCAGAAGCAGAAGCAAGCAAACTTGAACTCTTTGGTGGTGGGATGTTAAGAAAGGAGGTGACACCTACCCAGCCTAAGGAGACCTGTTTCTCTCTGTTCTCTCTCCAGCAGTTATATCTAGCCTAGTTTGGGTGCTAGGGAAGAACTCAGGGCTTTGTGCATATTAAGCATGTTAACAGGCAAATAAATAAGCCTAGGAAAAAACAAATAAGTATACTCGTTCCTCTGTTTTGTTTTCATTTTTGTTGTTTTGAGATAGGATCTCATCTAGCCCATACTGGCTCCAAACTCCAAGTGTAGCTGAGGCTGGTCTTGAACTCTTAATCCTCCTACCTCCCCTTCCTCTCCTGCCTCGGCCTTTTGAGGGCTGGGATTACAGGCACATACCACCATATTCAATTTCCCAAAACTGTCCCAAAGAACCCTATCGTCTTAATTATATTCCATTCCACATCCAGTTCCCTGCTGCAGTCAAACTAGTACCAAAATGGTACCCAACACTAGCACAAGGATATGCACAGACAGGACTGAGGTCAAGCATGAATAGGGACTGAAATCTACAACAGAACGCCACCCAGCCCTCTCAGCTAGGCACTGAAATGGTCACCAAGGTGACATGGCTGTTAGTGTAGACAAAGGAGAGAGAACAATGTCTAAAAGCACTGGGGATGTAGCTTGAGGGGTGGGGTGCTTGCCTGGCATGCATGAAGCCCCTCTGTTCAGTCCCCACCATGGAATAAAACCTGTCCTGGTGGACCATGTATGTTATCCCAGCACTTGGGAGGCAAAGACCACAGGATTAGAAAGTTTTGGCCAGCCTGAACTAGAGAACTTGTCTTCAAAAACCGAAACCTGGAGCCAGGGAGATATCTTAGTGGGTAAAGTTGCTTGCCACGAGCCTGGTGACCTGAGTTCAATCCCTGGGACCTCCATGGTAGAAGGAGACAATTGACTCCCACAAATTGTCCTCTGACCTACACTCAGACACACACATACATACACACACACACACACACACAATCTGGCTCTGGTTTTCTCCACCTTATCCCAAGATTTAGTCATCTAGCAGCTTGTAGGAAAGGGCAGGGTCTCACTCTGTAGACCTGCTGACCTCAAGCTCATGATTCCTTTTGCCTCCGCTCCCTAGAACAGCACTACCACCTGCAGCCCATCTAAGGGAGTTTGAGGAGTCAGATGCAAGCCTATTCGGCTTAATAGGATGGGAGCCATGGCCTTAACAACAGATGGAGAAACAGAGTCCACACACCGACTGATATGACAGCGGTCACCCCACTTGGGATAGGAAGACCCGTCAATGCCACTAATGGTACTTCAGGGCAGATCTCATACTCTGGAAGTGGCGCGAGTATTTACTACACTGAGTTCCAAACATCTTACTCCCTCTCTTCCCTCGAAATGACATAAGCATTCTCAACCTATTCTGGGTGCCTGCCTATTTCCAGGGAGATGGATTAGATTGGATTTTAAAAGCTTTTTAAAATGACATTTATTTTGTGGTAGGGGTGACACACATGTGCTATAGCATACATGCAGAGGTCAGAGACCAGCTTGTGGGGTTATTTCCCTCCATCACATGGGCTCTGGGGGTCAAACTCACATCATCAATCTTGTCTGTAAGTGTCTTTATCTGCCGAGCCATCTTGCTAGCTTTTTGTCTGTTTGGTTTTTTAGTTTGTTTGTTTGTTTGTTTTGTTTTTTTGACACAGGGTTTCTCTGGGTAGCCTTGGCTATCCTGGAACTCACTCTGTAGACCAAGCTGGCCTTGAACTCATAGAGATCTGCCTGCCTCTGCCTCCCAAGTGTTGGGGTTTAAAGGCCTGTGCTGCCACCACCCAGCCCTGTTTGTTTGTTTTTAAAGACAGGATCATGTAGTCCAGGCTAGCCTTGAACTCACTGTGTAGTTAAGGATGATCTTGAACTCCTGCTTTTCCTGCTTTCACCATCCAAGTGCTGGGATTACAGCCATGTACCACCATGCCCAGCTAGTGGATTGAATTTGAAAGTGGGAAATTACAGGCACACAGGTTCTGAATAACTAGCAGACACTGAGGTCCCTTCCTGCCCTGAGAGAACTTAATGAGATCATGTCCCCACACCATGTGTAGGTATTTGATCCTTGCACATGCTATCATGTGTGTGAGCTTATTTTTACCATATGATTAAACCGTAAATTCCACTATGCGGTTACTTTCATCTACTTAATGGCACAATGGGGCATCTTCCCACATCAAAACACAGACCCACTTCATCATGTTACATGCTTGAGCAGTGGCTGGTCGACTGAGTGAGCCATGATTTACCATCCCACTCCTTCTATTTCCTGCCTATCCAGAGGAGCGAGTCACAGCCGGTGTGTGTGTGGGGGGTGTCAAAGCCATGTCACAAGAAGAAATAAGGGTAGCCTCGGGTGATCAATCTAGGGATTTAGTTATGAGAAGGAGCCCAAAAAGATTGCCACATATGTGTGACTTCCTGCTGCAACCCCCAAGCCCCAAGCCCCCTCTCCCCTACTGCCCTCCCCTCCCCTCCAGTAGGTACTCTGAGGCAGCTGGGTAGTTCCATTAGGAGTGCTCCACTCTGGGGGCCTGCACTGAGGCCTCTAACCTCTGGGCCACCAGGCCCCAGAAGCCAAGACCCCAGTGTCATTACACATAGGGTCAGAGGCTCTGGTTAAGGCCCTTGAGAGTACAGCCATCATCTCCCTGCCCCTAGTGTAATTCAGCCAGAAAGATTAGAGGCCAGGCTTGTCATTCTGCCAAGGGCAACTCCATGAAGAAAGAAGCCAGGACTTGGTCCATAAAGAGAAAAAGAAAGAAAAAAAAAAAAAAGATGGGCTTACATGCAGTCCATGAACTCCTTCCCACAGACCCTTGGGTACTGGGTCTCCGAGTGTTGAGACACCCCTGAGAGGCATTCTGGAATCATCTGTTGACTCTCCTATGGGAATCCTTGTACCTTTGTTGCCCAGGGCCTTCCTCTTAGGGGCTCCTTATACCGGTTCCATGCAAAGGAAGCTGGCTCTCAGCCTGTGGCAGACTATCCGTGAGGCAGGAGCAGGGGTTACATGGTTGCACTGCCCCATGGGAGGGAGGGAGGCTATGGGGGCTCTTTCCCAGCTCCTGACTAACAACCCAGGAATCACTCCAGATCACCGAAGGACATGTGGATTCTCCCAGCACAGGCCAGGTCCTGAGGCCTGGGCAGCAGGAGACACCCCAGTTAAGGTGACCACCCAAACCTACTCCCTTCCCCTACAGTTGAAGAGGAGCTCAAGAACATGCAGTGAGCAATGAAAAAACCTAGATCTTTCCACCAAGGCAGCCCTGTGGGTTTGGAGAAAGTGGTTCAGAAATAGGAAGCCAGGGAACCAGGATTTGATGGACAGCCAAGCCCCAGAGACTCCAGACAGCCAGGCTGTTGTAACTAGCACCATGTAGGGGCTAGGTTTTCAGAGTATTGTCGTCTCTGCTCCTTGTTAAACTTAAGCCAACCTAAGGCTAGGGCTGAGATATGCTGGCAGCAAGGGGAAAAAAATCACCAAGTCAGGCTGCCTTTTGTTGTAAACCCTGCTCAAGTGAAAAGAAATGAAAAGAGGTTTTTTTTTTTTTGGGGGGGGGGGTTTCAAGACAGGTTTTTTCTGTGGCTTTTGGAGGCTGTCCTGGAACTAGCTCTTGTAGACCAGGCTGGTCTCGAACTCACAGAGATCCACCTGCCTCTGCCTCCCGAGTGCTGGGATTAAAGGCGTGCACCACCAACGCCCAGTGAAAAGAGGTTTTAAACTCATGGAGGCACACAGACAACTCGGGATCATGAACTTGTGCAGGGCACTTTCACGCATCATCTTTATCGAAGCTCCTTTGATCCTTATTATAATTCTCCAGCCCATCTCCATTTATAATGGTAGGAATGAGTTCAGAGAAGGCAAGTAACTTGTCCAAAACCACACAGCTAGCGGGTAGGAAGAAAAACCAGAATTAGCATCCCACCTCCCAAGAGCTAAAATGCCAAGTAAGGCTTGCAGGGCTAAAAGCCAAGGAGCCTGAGAAATGCAGCCACGTGTGCCGGGGCTTAGGACATTCCATCAAAGGAAACATGACCCAGACAGCCCGGGGGAGGTCTGCTGGCATTGCCCCAGACCTGGCTATGTGACCTTGGAGAGAGCAGGACACCTCTTTGAACCCACTGCTAGTGTGGGCATGAAAACAGGAAGGTAATTCCTAATGAACTTGTGGTGGAGGAAGTGAGTCAAACTCGCCAGGCCCGTTAGACCTCTCCCTGAGAGAATGGGTGTGGGTAACCTCAGGACCTGGAAGCAGAAACTCTGTACCTGTCCTCCCCCAGGGCCCAGGGAGCCAGGCCCAGAACAGCCTGCTGCCAACCTCCAATTGGAGTGTGAGAAGCAGCAAGGCCTGAATCACTCGGAGCTTAGCCCAAGGAGGTGGGCAGGCTGCCCCAGTGTGGCTCAGCCAGCCTCCTGTCTCAAGAAGGCCAGTTCATGAAGCTACGGCCTGCTCTTCACTAGGGGTGAGACAGTCTGGGGACCAGAGGGCTGGGC